CCCCCCCCCCGCCCCCCCGGATGCTGCCGTGAGCCTTAGACGCCCTCATCCGTGACCCGCCCAGGCTGTTAGCACCTCTTGCCTGAACAGCTGCGGGAGCCTGGAGGCCTCTGCTGTTACCCTGTGTCTGCTGTCCACCCTCAGGGACTCCAGTGCACTGGGCTGAGGCTATTGGCCTGGCTCACCAGGCGCCCCGACTAGACAGTGCCCACACCTTGGACCACTTGTCTTCTCCTCGTGCCAGGCCCGCGATCTATGTCCCTGTCTCTGGGCCTTTGTACTGGCTGTTCCCTCTAGTGTAATGCTGTTCCCATGGGGCTGCTAGGCTGGCTTCTTACATCACTTGGGAGTCCATCCCCTGGGTCCCTGGGTCCCTGGACTGCTCATGAGCAGAATGCACTGGGCTGTCCCCTCTGGGAGAGTCTCTGGCCCTGGCACTCAGGCCCCGTGACAGCCACTGGTTTTGATGCCTGTCCCCACCCCCGGAGCGGCACTTCCTCAGAGTTTTCTCTTTATCGGCATCAACCTCTGGTTGGCTCTCCTCTTGGGTGTCAGCTTGGCAGGAGCTGGGCTCTGTCCCCTGGGGCCCTGGGGCCCTGGACTGCTCATGAGCAGAATGCACTGGGCTGACGGCTGTGGGGGATGTGGCCCAGGCCGTGGGACAGCGGGAAGGAGGTCCTTCAGTGAGCAGGACCTTCGTGCCAGGCACCAGTGCTGTCAGGCACTTCCATTCCCAGGTGCTGTTGGGTGTCACCTTTTCCAAATGCCACATCACCGTTCGCCCTCACTCGCTGCAGAGCAGAAGTCTCTGGAGGGGCCACGGTGGGCTGATCCCTCTCCTTCCCAGTGTTTAGTGATGACGTGGGACCATCCCAGGCCTGGATTAAGGTCCCCTGCTGGTCTGTCTGCTCTCTGGTGGTGTGGCATTTGCTTAGAGTCTCAAAAGCCAGGCTGGGTGTTGTTAGAGCCTCAATTCTGCAGGGTGGGTGGTGCCCGTTTCTCAGATGGAAAGCAGGACAACAGAGGCTCTGGGGTTGAGAGTCACAGACGTGGGCTTGAGACTGGGTCAGCCTCTGCCATGGTGGCACTCCTGCACATGAGGGGCTCAGTGGCGGTGGAGGTGATGTGGAGCGTACGCAGGCGTGAGTGTGTCTGCTCAGGAGTGCAGCACACGTGCAGGCGTGAGCCGGTGTGTGCATCTGTGTGTGTGCATGTGGGGAGTGAGCACACACGAGTGAGGGTGTGCCTGCGTGCTCCCACCACTCCTTGCTGCCTTGATGTAATCTCTGGCACCTTTTATCATGGCAGCACCTGTGCCACCTCTGACCATGGCGACCTCAGTCCCCCCCACCTTTGGCCGCCAGGCGCTCTGGCCCAGACCTCCCTGTGGCCCCTGCCCCTGGAGCCAGGGAGGTCCCGGGGCTAGTTTGCAGTTGTGTCCCGCATGGGTAGGAGCTTGACAGAGGCTTCTTGGGTGGGGTGGCCTGCTGTGCTGGTCAGAAAGCTACTTCCTCAGCCAATGACCAGGAGACCTTGCCGGGTGGCCCGTCTGCCGGGCTTCCTGTGAGGGGTGTGGCTCCTGGCCTGGGTCTCCGCTGGAGCTGGCCAGCTGCCCTGGGCCCTGGCGTGCCTCTGGCCTGTCCGCAGGTGTACTACGGCCCAGGAAGGGTGGGAGGTGTCTGCCCGCAGGGGCTGTGCTGCTGCCATACCTCCTGAGTCTGACCTTGCCTGGCTCAGGCCCCAGACCTGGGAATTTCCATTTCCCCAGTGCCTGTTGCTGCAGTGGCTTTGTGTTTAAACAGCACTTCCCACAGGATGGGTTTTAAAAATAGGACCAATTTATTGCCGACGACAGTGGGAGAGGAGAGAGGTAGAGCGGCTGTCGTCACAGGGCCCCACCGGTCCCCACACCTGCCCACTGACCCGGCCCCCGCACACCACCCCTTTTCCGGCTGAGCTATCGGAGCCGAGCTGCCTGGGGCGCTGGGCGCTGGGGGTCAGGGTGGATGGCAGCTGCTGCAGTGGTGACCCGGGGGGGCCTCGGCTTCTAGCACGCTGGAGGGGGGAGCCCATCACTGCCATGCCCCTCACTCCGTTGGTTCCTATTTAGAAACTGAATCAGTGGCTGGATGGGGTCTTGGCTCCCCTGGCTGCTGTAATGAAGCACCCCACCCTGGGAGCTTGAAACAGTGGGTGCTTACTCTCACGGTCCTGGAGGCTGGATGTCCAAAATCGAGGTGTCCACAGGGCCGGGCTCTCTTGCTGAAGGTGCGAGCCGCCTCCTCGGGCTCCTGGGCCTGGGGGTGCAAGCCCTGTGACCTGTCTTCACGTGGCTTCTGAGTCTGTGTCCCCCCTCCCGTCTCTCAGAAGGTTGTTAGATTCAGGGCCGCCCAGATAGTCCGGAGGCCCTCATCTGGGAGCCTTCACCTGGATCGCCTCTGCAAAGGCCGTTGGTCCAAGTAAGGTCATGTTTGCACGTTCCGGGCATCAGGATGTGGACGTATCTTTTAGGGGGTCTCCATTTAGCCCTACATGGGTGAGGGTACTTGTCATTCTTGGATCTCAGTAAGGAGTAGAATGTGAGCTGCATTTCAGACACAGCCAGAACCCAAAGAGATTGGACAGGCCTGGGGGAAAGGATCTCAGGGACACATGGGCTTTTGCACACAGGCCCCCAAAACCAGTCTTGGGGGCAGACATCCACGATGGTTAGACCAGCTCAGCAATGGGAAGCAATGGGAAAGCAAGCTGTGGGAACCCAGAAACTGCTGAAGCAAACCTGACTCTAGACCGGGAGTTGGCGAACCACAGCCCTGAGCCAGATCTGGCCTGTGGCTTGTTTCTATAGTGAAGTTTTCTAGGAACATGGCCATTCTCTTCTGTGTTACCTATGGCTGCTTTCGCAGTTAAGTAGTTGTGACAGAGACTGCACGGCCCACGGAGGTAAAAGTAGTTACTACCTGGCTCTTTGCGAAAAGGTTTGGGGACTACGTTCCTGGCTCTATTGCTGGGAGTGTAACTCTTAGAGCATAGGAGGTGTCTGTCTCGCTCCGCTATCGTCAGCGAAGCCATGCCTAAAGCAGTGGCCTTTCATTCGGCAGAACGTCCCCACCCTCCACGGTGCCAGGTGATGGGATATCACTGTGCAGGAGCAGAAGTGGGCCTGCCTTCAAGACCTCGCCTTTAGGGTAGGGGGGCAGCAAGTAGACAAGGAACGGGCAGCGACATGGCAAAGCTGCCCCGGGGTGCTGGTGCCTGTGGGGCGAGCGGGGCGGCAGGGGCGGTCAGTGTGTCTGGGTGTCCCAGGTGTGGGTCCCCACACTGTGCTCCCCCTGTAGCAGCCCCGCCCTTGCTGGCCGCCCTCGGTCCCTCCGGAGGCCCTGTGGTGCGGACCTGTCTGAGCTTACTGCCTCCCTTGAGTTCTCACTTCTCAGACCAACAGTGACATGTCTGGGGACATTTCCATAACGACATGTGCCCTTTATGCCACCTGTGTGACCTCTTTCTGGCTGGGCCATGGATTTCCAAAGGGAGTTGTCTAAGCGCTGCAGCCCCTCCAGGCCATTCAGAGAGAACGCGCGGAACCCGCAGACAGGCAGATGGGTTTCTGTGGGTTCTGGGTTTTTTTCCCTCAAAACGGGAGCATTTTTGCTTTTCTCTGATACAAGCGTTTCCGACGCTGAGGGCAGGTCCTCAAAGGGGGCGTGAAGCCCCCAGGACAGTCCTCCGGTTTTGCTACTGCACTAGGTTTGTGGGACACAGCCGCCCACGTCAGTGTCCAGGCTGCCTGGGGCTGCGTTCGCGCCATGGAAGTGGGGACGAGGCCCGGATGACCGCCTGCCCTGTGGCCCTACCTGGGGAAGTGGCTGCTCGCACAGCTCAGAGGGCTGACCCTGGTTTGAAGGGCCGGGCAGGTGGAAGCAGAGTGCACACCACCACAGCTTGTCTTCCCTCTGGGGACAGACAGGTGTCTGAGACAAGGTCATTTGGGATTCGTGCTTACCTGGATTTTCAGGGCCTGCTCCTTGGGGAATCAGAGTGGAGTTGTCCCGCGCACCTTCCCACGGGCATCCTTGCCTTCCCTGCCTCCTCCTGCCCGCGGGCCCCTGCAGGGTTGGTGAGAACGTGTCTAGGCTTGCTCGGGGCCATGCGTTGAGCCCTGGACTCGCGGGCCTGCCACAGCGCACTTGGGGATGCTGGGGCCTCGGGGCAGCGGCCCTGATGGCCCCTCAGGTGTGTCCTGTCTGGTGCCCCCTGCAGACTGTTTGCTGATGCTGGCCTACAAGGACCGGTCAGAGCGGACCAAGGGCCTGCGGGAGCGCAGCAGCCTGACCCTGGAGGACATCTGTGGCCTGGAGCCCGGCCTGCCCTACGAGGGGCTGGCCCACACGCTCGCCATCATCTGCCTGTCGCAGGCTGTCATGTTGGGCTTCGACAGCCGTGAGGCCATGTGTGCCTGGGACGCCCGGATCCGCTACGCACTCGGCGAGGGTGAGTGATGCCCAGCATGGGCGTCCGAGGTGACAGCCCCACCCTAAGGTGCCCGGGAGGCCTTGCCGTTGGGCTGCGGGGCAGGGCCTCGTGGTTTGGAGCACCTCCTCTAGCAGGCCCAGTGCTTAGGGTGTGGGAGTGCATGGTGCTGCCCGAAGGCTTTGGGGAATAGGAGGGCCCCCCAGGGCCTTTCTGATGACTTAACCCTTTAAGTAGATCCAGAGTCTTGACCCAAGTGGGTAGCCGAACAGGGTGACCTTCCGAAGTGCTGCCCTTTGCTCCCTGACCTGCCACCTGAGCCCAGAGCCAGGTGGGGGTGGAGGGCATGTATGGAGTTGCTGTCCCATGGCATCCCCCCTGCGGGGCTCCAGTGGGGCCTGTGCCCTGGGCTGGTACCGGGGAAGGGGGGTGAGAGAGACTAGTGCTCGGGGGCGGACACGGCCCCACCTCACAGCTCTACAGGGTGGCCGTGCCACCCAGTGGGCTGTGTGAGTGGGGTGGGACCTGGGCTCAGGTGAGGGGCCAGAGGCCCTCTCCTTGGATGCCAAAACAAAGACATCAAGATCAATGATATTTTAACACAGTCTTTAAAAAATTCCAGATCAATACAAAAAGCCCATGATGAAGAAAACATTCAAATTTAAAGTGAAAATGAGCTCTGAGCCCCCACTTGTAATTCCTTCCCCTCTGCTCAGTCGGCCGCGTCTTTATCAGACATTCTTGCGCCACGGACTTGTGCCCTTTCATTTGCCTGAACAGTCACGGGCATATGGCTGATCTCGGCCGCTGAGTATGTGGTGCTCACCCCTGCGCAGCCCGGCCCAGCAGCCGCTCCCTCACCCCGGAGCCCCCAGACCAGGCGCTTAGTGCAGGAGGCATGTGCCTGGCTGGTGCAGAGGGCATGGGGCCAGAGAGGAAGAAGAACACCTTCTGGAAGGTTCTCTGGTTGGGGGCTCCCGTCGGTTCGCTCTGGGCAGGGTCCTCATACAGCTGCAGCCGCTGGCCCGTCCCAGCACCTTCACAGAAGTGCCGGGCGGGCCGGCTGCTGACCACCCTCGGGTCCGGCTCCTCCAGCTGTGCACCCCCTTCAGCAGCGGGACCGACTGGGGAGGGGGAAGCTCATGGCTGTGCCCTGCGTGCTTCCTGGGCATACGCCTGAACTGGGGGAGTGGGCGCGACTGTTGGGGGCAAGTTCGTCTTGCTCCCTGCCGGGGAGTGGAGGGGCCTGCGGTTTCCAGAGTGTCTCTGGGCCAGGCTGGGCTGAGGCAGACCCGAAACTCAGGCAGCTGGGGGGAGGCCGGGCCTCCGCGGGCCTCAGTTTCCCCACCCGGGAGGTGGAGCCATGCCAGTGGCCGTGGGCGGGGGTCCTGGGAGCAGGCGCTCCATGGGCAGGGATCCAACGCTGGGCATCTGTCCGCACTGGCACACAGGGAGCTTCAGCAGGGCTCCCTGGGGCCCAGTCTGCCTTGGTGGGGCTGGAGAGGGCGGTCAGGCAGCCCCTTGGAGGCCTCGCCCACTCCTGACAGGTAGCTTGGAAGGGTGCGGGGGTGCAGCCCAGGGCCCTTGGAGCTGGCGCCGGTGTCGCTGCCCCTCCCGTGCTCAGCCCCCTCTGGCCTCTGCCTGGCCCTCAGTGCACAGGTTCCACGTGGCAGTGGCTCCGGGCACCAAGCTGGAGAGCGGCCCCGCCACCCTTCACCTCTGCAACGGTGTTCTCGCGGTGGCCAAGGACATCCCTCCGGCAGTCACCGGGCAGTGGAGGCTGTCTGACCTCCGGCGCTACGGGGCCGTGCCCAATGGATTCATCTTTGAAGGCGGGACCAGATGTGGGTACTGTAAGTATGCTGGGTGGGCAGGGCCGTGGCAGCTTCCAGCTCACTTCCCCCAGCCACCACCGCTTGGAGCCCGCGGGCCCACTGTGAGCCTGCTCTGTAGTGCGTCAGGCTGTGGCTGGGTTCCGTCTTACGGCCCGGCTGCCTCGCTCTTCCTGGCTGGAGGGACCCCTGCACAAGGCTGTCATGTCGCAGTTCACAGCCCTTGGCCTGGGTCACAGGGCCTCAGAACCACGGAAGTTCGGATTTAATGGAAAAGGGGAAAGAAGTAAATGTGTTTATCAGGGACGTGCAGAGAGATGCATCTGTGGGCCCAGGGCTCCCCGTGGGTACAGCTGCTCTGGGCCTGTGAGCCCCCACATCTGGGATGGGGCGGGGTGGGAAGAGCCGCCCTGCTGTCGGGGATGAGGGCAGAGCCCCAGGGTGTCCCCAGGGCCGAGGCGATGGTGAGAGGTGGTGAGGGGGGCCAGAGTGAGGCCGGCACGCTGACCGCCAGGCTGGGGAGGGGCTGCAGGGACCGTGCCCATGGAGCGGGGCGGCTGCAGGGTGGGGATGCCTGTGCCCTGCCTGCTGTTCTCTGAGCGCAGGACCGTGCACACGGCAGGCCAGTGAATGGACCTGCAGGCTGGGGGCTGTGAAGCCCTTTCTCCTGTCCCCAGACTGCATGTCTGTGCGTTGGTTACCCAGGGCTCCTGGCATGCAGCCCTGAGGCCGGTGGTCAGGTGCTGGGCTGCAGGGTGGGTGCTGCACATTCTCATCTCCGCTCTCCTGTGGACAGAGGGTGGAGGCTCTGAGCCCCGACACCCTGTGTCTGCTGGCCCCACCCCCATAAAGGGACATAATCCCTGACCCACAGTCTTGTGAGGGGATGAGGATGACAAGAACTTGTGAGGGGCATGTGCCCTCAGCACGGCCAGGGTTGGACAGGGTCCACTGGGCTCTGGGACCTGCTCGCGCCTGGAGGAATGCTCTTGAGGGTGTGGTCGTGCGGGAGCTGATCAGATGGGCCCTTGTACTATGCGGGGTGGGCAGGTGGCACAGAATGACGTGGCCTGTGCTCCGGGGCAAACCCAGTGCGTGGCCCGAGGAAGCCAGCCCTACGGGGTGCTCACGGCACCCTGCCTTTCAGGAGTCAGGCCGTAGCCTGCATGGACACTTAGCAAGGAGGTGAATCAGCTAGTGAGGTTCAAGGTGCTGCGCGAGCAGTGGGACACAGGGAGTCGGCCGAGTTTGTGTTGATCGGGGCCTGGGCGCGGGGAGGCTGGGTTTGGAGACGGGAAGGGAGACGGAAGGTGGCGATGGGGCAGGTGCCTGGGCTTGTGGGGTGTGGCAGTTTTCAGCAGAGGCTCCTGCAGCCACAGGGCAGCCGCAGCCATGGTCTGAAGGGCCTGACCGGAGCCAGGCCTGGGGTACAAGCATGCATAGCTGTTGGCACACCTGCCTTGGGCTGGTGCGGAGGAGCAGGACAGGACGCCACTGGGGCACCTCCGTGCTGCATGAGCCCTCGGGCCACCTGGTCTTTAGCCCATTAGAGGTCGTAGCGCTTGGGTCCAGAGCCAGGGTGGGGGCGGGGACCCTTGCCAGCTCTGTCCCCACTCCCTCGCATGGATGGTCAGGGGCCGCAGGCCATGGTGCCCTGGGGCCCTGGGGCTGCCCCTCCCCAGGGCTGTGGAGTTCCTGGACACGCGCCCTCCTGCCCGTGCTCAGGGTCATCTGGGGCTACTTCCAGGGCTGCAGGCTGCCTGGGGGCTGCTGGCCAGCACCCTGTAAGCGGGGCTGTCAGGAGGACCTGCTGCCTTGGGGGCCTGCTGTCTTTGCAGCCGCATAATGTCATAGGGCTGCTGGGTGTTGTCCTTGAGGCCTCAGAGTTTAACATTCCAACTCTTGGTGTGGGTGTAAACAATTTTGGGCGCCAGAGAGGTTCCATGCAGGCAGAGAGGTCAAACCAGGCAGAGAGGCCAGAAAACCAGGGTGGACCACACAGGGCTGTCCTGGTGCTGCCTCTGAGCAAGGCCTGGATCAGCTCCATCTGCACACCTGGGCCGGCCAGCCTCGACTGCAGGGCTCGAGGCCGTCATTCTATGTCCCTCAGTGGGACACGGGCCTGAGGGTGCAGATGCTCTCACGGACTCCGTCTCCTCCCTCCAAGCTGTCGCGAGGCCACTGGCCAAATCCGTGGACAGTGGCTGTGGGACAACCCCATGTGGGGGATGCGGTGGCTGGTCGGACTGTGCCATCCCTCTGTCCTCTAGCAGGCCGGAGCCAGGCCTGGAGTACAACCCAGGAGGGCCGCATTCTCCAGGGACAGGCTGCCCCTGTTCTGCTGATGAAAGCTGGACTTAGACTGTCCCGGGAAACGGCCTCAGAGAGGGGACACCTTGATGCGGAACCAGTTGGTGGGGACACAGTGCACGCCTGCATGCATGGTCAGACCACCCAGCCGCTCAGGACCGGGGCCTTCCTAGGAAGAGGGCAGGCGGTTTAGGTCCACAGAGGGCACAAGTCAGTGCCCCGGGGCTGCCAGAGCCAGCACCCAAGACTGGGGGCCTTAGAACAGCAGAAGCGACTCCTCACAGTCCTGCCCACAGTCAGAGTGGCGGGGCTGCCCCCCACGGGGGCTCCAAGAGAGGGGCCTTCCTGTCCCTCTGGCCCCCAGTGTTCCTGCTGCCCCTGGGTCCGTGGCCTCTTCACCTGGCCTCTCCCTGTGTCCCCGCCCCCCTCCACAGGACAGCAGTCACTGGTTTCAGGGCCACGTGATAATCCAGGATGTCTCGTCTCTATTGCTCTTGATTCTGTCTGCAAAGCCCTTTTTCCAAATAAGGCCACAGTCACAGGTTCTGAGATGTGACCGTCTCTTGGGGCCACCGTTCAGCCCGTGACGGGTCACCTGGACCCTGAGATTTCCAGGATTTGGCTCCTGATAAGTCTGTGGCCTTGGGGCACTTTCAATTTCAGGGATGGAGAGCTGGGTTGGGGGTCATTGGAAGGCCCTGAAAGGTCTTGGGTGTAAGGAATTAGCACCCCCTCCTCTCCCCTGGGACAGGTCCCGGCCTGGCCCCTGGTGTCCCCAGACCGACACCCCTTCTCCCCTAGACAGTTCCCCAGAGAGCAGCCAACCCTGAGGTGCTCTGTGTGAGGAGCACGCCCCTGAGGGAGTGGGGTGGGGTCAGCGCAGGTGTGACCAGGGCTGTTGAGCTGAGACCTTCAGGACCTGGCTCGGTGTGCAGGGATGGCAGAGACGGGGGGCTTCCCATGGATGGGGAGTGGAGGGCCAAGAGAGGGGCCTTCCCGGAGCCTGGGGAAGGGAAGCTTTGGGAGCACAGGAGCTTCTCGGAGGGGCTCAGGGCAAGTTGTCCTTACACCGGCCATCAGAGCCTCCTGTCACGGGCATTTCAGGGCATTTCCGCACCCACGAGCCGGCTGCGTTGGCAGAGGACCAGGGTCCTTGAACTGGGGAATCCAGCAGGTGGCAGAGGGGGTCCGGTGCCCATCCGTGTCCTGGGCACCCGGCTTCTGTGCCACCTGCTCCTTCCCCTCTCTGCCCCCATGCCCATCTGTACTGGGTCTGGCCTGCCCCTGCGGCCTCCTGGGCACAGGTGTGTGGAGGATGGAGCCCCAGGCGAGGAGAGGCTCTTGCTGTGTCTGAAGTGCCCGATTCGCTCCCTGCCCTGATAGACCCGCCGGTGCCTCCTTTGGATGTTGTGGCCCAGATGCTGGGGGTCCCGTGGGCACTGGCCGAAGCCCTGGTCTGTGACTGCAGGAATCTGGGCCAGAGAGGGGCTGTGGCTTCTCCATGCCAGGTGCTGGGTGTAGGGCTGGAGGTGGGGAGCACACGGCCCGCAGGGAAGACTCGGAGCCCATGTAAGACAGACATGAGACGTTTACAGTTCTCAGAGGGGACAGGGGGCCGGGGAGAGACCAGCCTGGGCGCGTCGGGAAGGCTCCCTGGAGGGGCGCTTGAGTGGGACCACTGCAAAGTGAATAGGAGTTCGCTCAGCTGTGGAAGGGTAAGGAAGTGTGGGGGAAGAGAAAGGGTGCTCCAGATATGTGTCATGTGTGCATGGGTGACCCCGGGTGTGTGCAGGAGCCCTGTTGGTGGTGGTGGGAGCAAGCAGCCCCACGGGAACCGGGTGCTGTGGTCCCAGGGGAGCAGGGAGCCACCGAAGGCGCTTGAGCAGAGCACGGCCAGCAGACCGATTTTAGGGGGTAACCTTGGTCCCAGGCCGCCATCAGGCTGGTGGTCCTGCTGAGCAAACAGCAGCTGTGTGGGTGGGGGGGCCCTGTGGATTCTCAGAGTGCTAAAGGGTGGTGACGTAAAGGGGAAGGGTGGGCCTGGGGTCAGCAGGGAGGAGATGGGCCCCTTGCTGAGGTGAGGGTCCCAGGAGGGTGCATCCCTGCCTCCAACTGTCCTGTTCGAATGCTTTGCCTTCGACGGCGGTCGGGACGGGTGGGGGAGCCGCAGGCAGAGACCTGAGAAGGGTGGTCCGGACACGGGCTGCTTCCATTCACACAAGGTCACGTCTCCCTCAGGGACCAGGCCTGCCTGTCACATTTCTGATCGGCGTGCGGTCGATTTCAACCCTCTGCCCTGGAGGTACAGTCAGGCCCGTGATCTGTCGCCCTTTTGTAGCCCCTTGTGGCGTTTGCACACCAGGGTAATGACTGGGCCCTGTGTCCAGAGTAATATGGAGCCTGAGGCTGCCTAGGGCGGTGCCAGCCCCCTGGAGCCACCCTGCGGGGGGCTGCACCCAGTGGGGTCCCAGGTGCTTACTGGTCTAAACAGCATAGGAGGTGCATGCACCACCTCCATTTTACAGATGGGGAAACTGAGGCACAGAGTGGCTCCCACAGGTTTGAGGGCCATCTGAGTGTGAGCCATGGAGCCGCAGCCAACCCCGAGCTCCGCGCCCTGCCTGCTGCTGGTTAAGCGGGCCAGAGCCCACTGGGCGGGGCAGGGCCAGCTGCGGGCACTCAGATGGCAGTTCAGCGGGGGCCCCAGCTTCCTCCTCGGGTGCTGTGCTCCAGTCTGTGTTCTTCTGGACAGGAAAGCAGCCCCAGGGACTGCTGTGCCCCTGCCCTTGGGGGCATGCAATGTGGCGTCGTGTGGGACCATTTGGACATGATGGCATACGAGCCCCATCCCATGTCTTCGAACACGGGAGACTCGGTCCTGGGCACCAAGTCCCGCTCACCCAGGTCTCAGTCTCCGCACGTGCCCACAGCACACGCCTCTGCAACACGGCCCTCTCGGAGCCCGTTTCCTCATGGGCCCCATGGGGCTCGCTGTGGGGTGCTGGGAGGACATGGGGTGGGTGTGAGGGGCCAGCATGCCCCTGGCACCTGAGTGCCCGCGCCCACACCCTACCCAGCCTCCTGGAGTCCGAGAGAACGCCGTCACGCAGCTCCTACTGCAGCCGCTCCTTGTGGGTCGCGAGTGAGCCCCGCCCATGGGCCTGTCCAAGGAGTCAGGTGCTGATGCGACCCGGTGCCTGGGCAGTGGGTGACAGTCCCCTAGAGGAGACCCCAGGTTCCAGTCTCCCAGTGGAGACCCCAGTGCTGGGCCAGACCGGCCCCCCGCCAGATGGGGTTGGCGGGACCAGCCTCACCTTCTGCCTGCTCTGGGGGAGCAGGTCACGGCTGCGGCATTTTCCCAGGGGCTGGGAGTCCCTGTGAGCCCTGTCCTTCCTGCCCCCGTGCCTGAGCCTCACCTTGGCGTCGCCTGGGTTGGTGTCTCCACCTGCTAGTCCCTGGTCAGAGGCTTAGCCCCAGGCCCCAAAGCAGCGGTGTCCCTGTGCGCCTGACCCGGGAACTGGGAAGGGTGCTGCCCCAGGGCCGGTCACTCAGGAGAAGGGCTGATGGACAGGATCGCCCGCCGGCACTGGGAGACGCAGAGGGTGTCCCGGGCCTGCCTGAGGAGCTCTGACCTGAGCAGCCGTGCCTGGTGCCCAGGGCTGAAGGGTGGGGACCGCAGGGCAGCAGGGGAGGAAGGCGGGTCCCTGCGGAGCGCTCACAGGACCTCGCGGGGCAGGGGCAGGGGAGGTTGAGACCCCCCACCACTCGGGCAGAGCCCAGGGCTGTGGCTGACCTGCCGAGGCCCCACTCTCCTCAGGATGGTGTTGGGTCCCACCAGGCTGTTGTACCCCTGGGCTCTGTGGGGCTCTATGGGGGCTGTGGGGCTGTTGTCACGGTGACTGGGGCACGCTCCTGGCTTTCGGGGGGGCAGCTGCGAGGATGCTGGATGCCCTGTGGTGCATCCTGGCCAGAGGCGGCCCATGTGCCTGGGACAGGCCCCGGCGGGGGACCCCGCACAGACAGAGCCTGCTTCCCTGAGGGGCTCTTCGGGTTTGGGCTTGTTTTGTCTTCTTTCTGTTCTACTTTGGCAGAATACACGTAACATAAAATTTACCATCTCAACCTTAAGAGTTCCTGTCAGGGCACTGATGGCATTCGCGTGCAGCCGTCCCCACCATCCATCCCCAGAGCTTTCCATCCTCCCAAACTGAAACCCTGTCCCCATTAAACACCCCTCCCCGCTCCCCCAGCCCCTGCCCCACCTCCTGCTTTCTGTCTCTGACGTGACTCTCCTAGGGACCTGCCAGCAGTGGGTCATGCCGGACTGGTCCCTCCGTGACAGGCTCATCTGCCGAGCATCATGCCCTCCAGGTTTGCCATGTGGGACATGGGCCACAACTGCCTCCCCGTTGGGGCCGAGGAACCCACCTTGTGCTCAGCCCCCCGTCCCTCCCTGGGCCCTGGGTTCTCTCCCCTTTTGTCTATTGTGGAGAGCTCTGCCGCGAACACAGGTGTGCAAATATTTGAGTCCCTGCTTTTGGTTCTTTGGGGTTTGTCCTGGCCAGGAGGCTGCTGGGTGGTGTGGGGACCCCATCTCTCTGCAGAAACCCCGTGCTGTCCCCATAGCGTCCGCACCATTTTATGTTCCCACCAGCCATGCACAGGTCCAGTTTCTCCACAGCCTCACAGACATTGGTTTTATATTTTTTTGTTTTTATTTTTGTTGTAAAAAATATCTTTAACAATTCCTCCTAGTGGGTTTGAAATGATTGGGTGAAATTTAAAACTTTATTTCAAATGAATTTCTTTCACTGAATGTTCTTTCTCCCAACATAAGGGCAGGGAAAAATGAAATTCCCTGTGTTATTTTTGCTGTGTAACAAATGCCCCAGAGCTGAGGGGCTGTTTCTTTCTGTGGGTCAGGGGTCTGGGAGGGTCTGGGAGGGCTCAGTGGGGGTGGCTTACCTCTCCTGCATGTGGGCAGCTAGGGTCCCAGGGGCAGTGGCGTCTGGCGGGCGGCCTGGCTGGAAGTCCCGGTGGCTGTCCTTACAGCGGCCACACCTGTACAGTGCGGCAAAACTGGGTCAGGCTCTGTGTTACCTTCCCCTGACTCCCCAGGTAAATAAGCAAACAAAAATGCAAAGAATGAGTCCCTGGGAGGGGCCCTGGGGCCGGCTTGTTACTCCCACCCACAGAGTGCTGGGGGCCTCCTGGGCGGCTGGCCCACAGCTGCACACTGGGGCCACGGACGGCTCAGAAGTGGTCCCTGCTTGCAAAGTGCTGGGACTGGTGGCCAGACAGCATTCAGCCAGTAAGGGGACAGGTGAATTACAGCGTTACAGATTTGCCCCAGAGGAGGCTTCTCTGAAAGCATCACCAAGCGAAGGGTCAGGTGTTGGGGTCTGGAAAGGCTATGTTACATGAGTGGAGTCTTGCCAGGTGAAGGGGCATTACAGGTGGCCAGGGGCGTCCGGGGTTGAGGTGTCAGGTGGCCCAGGCGTGCCGAGGGGCCAGGGGTCCGGGAGAGGAGGCTGCGAGGGCCAGTGAGAAGGTGGTGAGCTGTGTCCTGGGAGACTCGGTGCTCGGGCCTCCAAGCTGTCCGCCCCAGGGAGCCCCTGCTGCCCAGGCTGGTGTGGGGGCAGCCGTCCTTCAGGGAGCGTGAGGCCTGGCAGACGCCGGGTAGAACGCCGCCGGCTCCCTGTCCTCGTCATGTGTTTTTTATGGTTGGGCACTGATTGTGCTGAGGTCTCTGCCAGGTGACTGTGAGCTTGGGATTAGGGGCCGGCCCTGCGTGAGAGCAGGCGACAGGCTGGCCTGGCCATGGTGGGGTGGCAGTTGCCCTAGGACACTGCAAGTAGCCAGCGCCCGTCGTGAGCACCCTTCTCACCTACCCTCCACTAAGGTCCTGGGCACAAGTTCTCAGCTGTGTACCCCGGCCTGGAGGCCCATCCCTCTGGGCCCTTCTGAGCAGGTGTCCCTGGGTTGGGTCAGGGTGGGCATGGGCCTCCTCTGCACACCTCCTGCCTCCTCTCTGCTGCCAGTCGGAAGCTCCATGGTGCCAGGATGTGGCTGGGTGGCCTGTCTGGGCCTTAGGCTCCCCATCTCTAAAGCAGGTGTGTCACTGCTTCGGGGCATGCACGGAGGAAGCTCCAGCAACCAGAAGGTGCTGCGCCCCCTCCTGCCCCAGGGTGGCTGCCAAGGGGCAGTGGTGTTGCCTCATGTGGGGCCTGGCCTGAGTCCCTGGAATTCCATGGAGGCGACAGCGACTGGCTGGTGCAGAGTTTCACCATGGAGCTTTTCTGACCCCTCCTGTCTGCTGGCATGGTGCCAGCCGGGGGCCTGCCCTCTGAGAGTGCATGCCTTTCTTTGGGCAAAGGGCAGAGGGCAGAGTGGCAGAAGGGATTCTTGTGCGGTGACAGCATCCAGCCCCACATGACCCGCTGTCTCCATTCACTCAGTAAGTGGCGAGGACTTCATTCACTGGCTGGGGCTCCAGGCCAGCGGGCAGGCTGCTCTGCTCGGCCTCCCAGGGGTGGCAGGACCCAGGGTCTCTCCCGCCCGGGTCCTGTGCCTGGGCCATCCCTCTGCTGGGTACTTGATGCTGGGGGCTCGGGTTCTCACCCTGATGCCCTCCTAGGAAGAGGGGGCGCTGTAAGGGGACCAGGGTGCGCCACCGCCTGCTCACAGGGCTTGCCTGCAGGCAGCCGGACGATGGGGCCAGGTGGGCCCCCCACCCTGGGCGAGGTGTCACTGCAGCCCTGGGGAGCCACCGCCCCTGGCAACCCAGTCCTGCCTCTCCTGTGGGCGCCGTGCGGGGAGGGCGGGGGGGCCACGCCAGGCCCTGGGAGGCTCCCGCACGCGCTCCGGGGACACCGCTGCTGGCCTCGGGCGGGCGTCTGATGCCAGGTCTGCCCTCCCTCTGCAGGGGCCGGAGTCTTTTTCCTGTCCTCCTCCGAGGGTGAGCGCATCAGCTTCCTGTTCGACTGCATCGTCCGGGGCGTCTCCCCGACCAAGGGCCCCTTCGGGCTGCGGCCAGTCCTCCCAGGTGTGTGCCGACTGGGCCTGTCAGCAGGCTGGGTGGGAGGCCGTCCTGACCTGCCCCCTGGCCTCCGCCCTGCTCCCCCGGCGGCTGGGAGCCCAGGGCCGTGCTGGCCCGGCCGGAGAAGGGATGCTGCCCACCTCCGCGGCTCTGAGCTCTGGGGGGCTCCGGCCCTGGCTTCTGGTGGGGCCCATCGCGTCGCAGCTGCAGCAGGTGGGGCGGCAGGAGGCCACAGGCCGGGGGTGTCTCCCGGACACTTTGTGGGCCAGCCTCCTGTTCTCCAGGCTGGGGCAGGAGCCCCGCCGGGTCACTGGGACTGTGGGCTGCGGTCAGGCCCTGCTCTCTCCCTGTGAGGTGGCTGTATGTGGGGGTCTCAGGACACTGTGGGGGTGCGGTGGACAAGGCCGCTGTGCCTGCCTGTCTTTCTCTCCATCTCTTCTCTGCCTGTGGTGGTAGGAGGGGCCCGGGATTCGGGGCAGGGGTGGGGCGGTCCGCCCTCCACTTGGGGATGGCCGGAGACGCCTGAGCCCAGCTGCATGGGAGGGGCAGAGGCTGGTCCTGTCGCCACAGCTTCCCTTGACTGAGGCCCACGGGTTGGGTGGCACCCAGAATTGCTGGTACACATTGTCCAGTGGGAGACCAAGGCCCGTGGCCACACAGCAGGAGGTTGGCCGCAGACGGGGCCGTCTGGGGTGGAGGCCAGGGGCCAGTGACATGCCAGGTCCCCCTTGCACACACGTGACACACCCGGGGACAGGCCAGGAGGAAGGCATGGCTCCTGTGGCCAGACTCTTAGCAGGCTGCCTGCTCAGGCTCTGCTAGATGGTATGGTGGTGCCCCCTGCTGGCGACCTTCTGCCTGGCAGCCTCTGGTCGGGTGTGGGCAGTGGGACGGATCCAGGCCGGTGTGGATGGCGGTGTGTGGACGGCGGAGCTCTGCTCTCTGTTCTGGCTGGCATCACATCAAAGTCCTGTGGTCATGGGAGACTCGTGAGATGAAATGGCTCCCCCTGGGTCAGCAGCCTCACGCCCAGGTTTTCAGGGGTCCTTGCAATGGCCTCTGCTTGGTCAGACGCACGTGGACACCAAGGCCTCCGGGGCAAGACCTGCCTCCTGCAGGCAGAGTTGGGATGGCACGGGGGATTTCAGGGTTCCAGGTTCCGCCCTGTCCCGGACACGTCCCTCCATCCCCGCACTGGTTCCCCAGAGCTGGGGTGCACTCCCCCTGTACCCCCACTTTGCAGATGTGGATAGGGGGCTCAGAGAGGGCAGGTGGGGAACCGTGAGTTGGTCTGATGCCATCATCTTGCTTTGCGATCAGCTGCCAGATGGGAATGGGTGGAAGGGTGTTCCTGGTGTCCTGGCCGTGGACGCTGCTGAGGTCAGCCCCACTGCAGGGCCTGATGGCTTTGGGGCACAGGCACAAGCTGGGGGCCAGGGGCCTGGATTGGGGCTGACTGGGGTGCACTGTGGTTGGTGTCCGGCGGCTGGGGACCAGGTGTGGGGAGGAGTGGGCTCACCCATGGCCCTGCCACGGCCTTGGGGTGGAGCGGCCTGCCTGTGGCCCTGAAGTACTGGGCTCCCCACGAGGTCCTGGACAGCGAGTGGGCCAGTGCCACTTGCTCTGCTGACCGTCCTCTCTGCCGCAGACCCGAGCCTCGGGGGGCCTGCCACCGTGGAGGAGCGAGTGGCCCAGGAGGCCCTGGAAGCCCTACAGCTGGAGAAGCGGCTCAGCCTCCTCTCCCACTCAGTCAGGACAGGCAGTGGAGGTAGGGGCCTCGGCCGGGCGCGGGCAGGGGCGGCGGTGCAGGGGTGGGGCCCTTGCAGGCCAGCCCCCAGGCTGCAGGCACTGAGCACTGAGTTCTGGCCTGGGCACCGAGGCCCCTCCCACTCCTCAGCGCGTGTCCTGGGTGAGGACAGGCCCCTTGTTTCACAGCTGCACCCAGACAGAATGTTCAGGGGTGGCATTGCCAGGAGCCGAGGCCCCTGCTTGGCTGTGACTCTGGGGTTGCTGCGTCAATGAGGACGGACAGAAGGAGCCGGCAGTCCTGGGAGGGCGGCCAGCTTGCGGTGGCATGGGGGCTGTCCCGCCGCGGCCTCCTGGGCCAGAGCAGGGGAGCCCTGTGGGGCCTGCCTGTCCCCTGAGGCTCACTGGGGACTGTGGCCTTCTCCTGTCCTGTCCACTCTGGCCCCTAGGAACAGGGGGTCTCAAGTTTGCATCGAGCTTTTACCTTCTTGGGGGAGGGGTTCACCCCTGGTTTCCAGAGGGTGGTGGCCAAGGGGAGGGGGGACAAGGGCCTGGGTGGGGCGGGCTTCCTGGTGCCGTTGCCTTGTGCTCCAGCCTCCGGGTGCTGGCGGGGCTTGGGGAGGCCAAGGGCTGAGTCTAGAAGGCGCGGACCCTCGGGTGGAGGCACTACTAGATGTCGCCCTCCACCCAGCCACAGAGCAGCCTCAGCCCGACTGTCCTTCTCAGGGGATGACCGCAGCCTGTGCAGCTCGTCGTCAGAGGCGAGCCGCTCGGACATCAGCACCAGCAGCCAGCTCACAGCCTGGCCGGAGCAGTCCTGGTCCTCGGCTGGCACCTCGCAGGAGGGGCCCGGGCTGGGGGCCGTCCAGGTCCCCGGGGAGGTCGTGCTGGGTGCCTCCAGGCCGCCACCCAAGCCGCTGCGGCCCCGGCAGCTGCAGGAGGTCGGCCGCCAGAGCTCAGCGGACAGCGGCATCGCCACGGGCAGCCGCTCCTCCTGCTCGGGCAGCTTCTCCTCAGGCGCGGACAGCAGCCTGGACATGTGGCGATCCGGCGACGAGTTCGGCTCACTGCTCAGCCTGCCGCTGGCGGCCGGGGCGCCCGAGCCCAGCCTGTGTGCCTGCCCTCCGGGGACAGCTGAGTACCAAGTGCCCACCGCCCTGCGGCCCCACTATGACTCGCCCCGCAGCCTGTGCCAGGCGCCCAGGGACCAGACCCCAGCCGCACAGGGCGGCCCTGCCGGTGGCGGGGCCGGGGACTCGGGCAGCCAGGTGTCTGTGGGGTGCCCCTCCAGTTGGCTGGGTGCCCGGCAGCGGGGACAGGAGACAGAGGCTGCAGGCAGTGAAGCCACCCCGCCCAGCCCAGCCCCCGGCGAGCCCTGGGAGGCGGGCGGCCCTCATGCTGAGCTGCCTCCTGCCTTCTTTGCTGCATGTCCCGTCTGTGGCGGACTCAAGGTAAAGCCCCCGCCCTGAGAGCCAGGGCCCAGGCCTGCTGCTCCGGGTGGGGTTCACCCCTCGGGACGGGAGAAGAGGGTCCTTGCCAAGGGGGTGCACTTTGTGCCCCTTGGTGAGGCCGGTGGCCGTCAGCCCAGTGGGGAGGGCCTGTGGGGGCCACCAGCTCCTGGGGAGCAGAGCCTGTCAGGAGGCCACTGTGACCGTCTGGGGCAGGTCCGCTGGCCGTGAAGAGGCCCCGCCTGCAGGCAGCTAGAAGTGCCTTCTGGGGTGGGAGGCTCTGGGTGGCCATCGACAGAAGCCCAGAGCCCCGGGTTAGGCTCAGGCTCAGGCGCTGGGGCCAGGGAGGCACCATGGCTTAGCCAGCTTGTGCCAGGACCCCCTGGCCGCACTGCCTCCCCACCCCACTGCACCACCCACCTCATGGCCGGCCTGGCCTGCAGTCCCAGCCCCCCTGCGGCCAAGAATCCGATCCCTGCCAGCAGCTCCGGCCCCGAGGGTGCAGGCCCAAGGCTAACCCCCTGTGTGGCACGCGTGTGTAACCAGCTTTACCTGTTTGCCCCTCGCCTCCCGTGAAAAGCAGCACCTGCAGGCGGCCCGTCCTGTGGGGAGGAAACCGAGGCTCGGCAGGCCTGGGGGCTGGTGGGTGTGGGTCTCAGAACTCGGGGGCCCACTGCTCCTCAGCGTTGTCCTGGGCCTTAGGGCTCTGGGCCAGGGGCGGAGCGGGGGGGAGCAGGGCTGTGGTCTCATGGGGCCGCGGCCTCGGAGGTCAGCCTGCCAGAGGGCTCTGAAAGGGCCAGAAGGCCCACGCCCTTTTCCTGGCTGCCCTCTGGCTGAGCGGGAAGGCCGGTGGTCAGGGCAGAGGCTGCCAGGGGTCCGAGGCCCACCCATTGCATTTGGAGGGCCCCTCGGTGCTGCCTAAGGGCCGCCCTGGGATAGAGCTTCTCCCCGGCCTGTCTGCTCAGCTGCATGGGGGGCAGCCGTGTTGCCTGGTTTTGTACATTCGTTCCCTGGTTCCGGATGCACCGTGAGAGGTGCGGCCGTGTCCATCCGATCCTGGACTCTCTGGCTGGCTTCGTCCTGCGCTGTCTGAAATCAGCTCCTGTCCAGGGGCGAATAGCTGACCTGTAAATATTCTGCTTTGTGCTTCCGCTATCGGCTGAAGATGTTTGTTGCTCTTTTACATTGAAAAAATCTGTTTGTAATACATTTATGTTCTTCAACTGGAAATAAAATGTTCTTTTCTTATCCTCTTGTCCTTTTCCATTTGGCCAGCCCTCCCCACTCCTGCCCTGGCCCTCCCCGCGGGGCCCTTGACTGTCTCTGGAGTCCGGGCCCGGCCCCCTTGGCCTGTGGGTCACAGAGCAGCGTGAGATCCACCTCCGTAGTCAGCCTTCAGCCTGAGGGTGCTGGAGGCGTGACGGAGAGGTGGCTTCAGACAGCCCCTGGGGCCTGCACGTGCACGTGTGCGTGTGCACACAGACCTGCATGCATGTGATGCATGCCCGTGTACATTCATCTACATGTAAGCATATTGAGGGAGGCCTGCATGCACACGTGTGTGGTGTGTGCACATGTGTGTATGTGGTATGTGCATGCACTTGAATGCCTGTGTTCATGGCGCATGCACACGTGTGTGAGATGAATGTGCATGTGTGATACGGTGTGTGCCGTTGTGCACATGGGCATGTGCACGTGTGTGTGCACATGTGTGGCATGTTCTAGTGTTTGTGGAGACCACAGTGAGGTCCTCAGTGGTCTCTTGGGCTCAGGTGGTGCTGCATGTCCAAGTGAGGGTAGACACCGCCTTCTGGGCCAGTGAGGGTCCTGGCTCTGAGCCTGAGGCCCTGCCTCCCCATCACCCCATGGGGTGGCAGAGCCTTGAGGACCCCATTTCAGCCTACCTGCACATCCTGGGGGCTGTTCCCTGCCCTGTCGTTCCATCTCCACCCTTGTTCACCACCCTGTGGGGGGCCAAGTCTGCCAGGGGAGCTGGGGGGCTGAGGTCCCCAAGGGCACTGAATGCTGGCATATCTGGGGGGGGTTCCTGCAACACTGCCATGTGGGGAAAGGCAGGCCTGGGGGTGAGCTGGGGGCTGCAGGCAAGTCGCTGCACCTGTCTGAGCCTCGGTTTCCTCTTCTATGATGGGGACAGTAGTCGCTACTCTCCGGGTGCCCAGAGAGGGTCTAATGAGGTGTGTAAGTGCTCTGTGGAGGCTGCTGGGGTATCATCATGCATGCCGCTGTCACCCCCACCCCAGCCTTGTTCCCAAAGCCCTGGGGCTGTGGGCTGCTGGTGTGGGGGCCGGCTGGGGTGCTCCTGGAGTGCTGGGCTACCTGCTGCCAGAGCCCCTTGTCAGCCGGGCCTGGTGCCCCTGTGCTCCCGCAGTACCTGCCGACCGATGGCCAGAGGGGCAGGCGTCCCTCCAGCCAGAAGACAGGCTCCAGCCCTGAGTGAAGACGGGGAAGGCCAGAGCTGGGCATTTGCTTGCCCCCCCCCACCAGTGTGGGAATCCTGGCGGGCACTCAGGTCTCCTTGACCTTGGCTAATGGCTGGGACTTTGGGGAGGTGCCGTCTTGGGGGCGAGGCAGGAGGGATGGGCCACAGGCCACACAGGTGGGGACATGGGCAAGTAGATGCTGGGTTGCCCAGCCCTTTTAGTCGGTCCTCGGCTGGTGGCAGGAGCCTGCTGAGGACCTGGGCCGGTGGGGGCCGGGCTGGCAGCAGGCCGTCCTCGCCCAGAGTGGAGAGGCCCCCTCATGGTGTGCTGGGGACCACTGCCCTCTCTGGGGACTGTTCGGGGTCATGCATCTTGTGCGATGGGATGCTCAGGAGGAGTGGGGCCGGGGGTCCCACAGTGGTGTGCCTCAGTATCCCCTTGCACCCCAGGGTGGCCCTGGGGCATGGGTTGAGGGGACGGGGCCTCTCATCCGGCGGAGCTGGGCAGGGCCACCAGGACAGCCTTACACCGCGTGGAGTTGCAAGGAGCATTTGCTTTCACCCATTCTCTTCCAAGTGAGCTCGCGGGGCCTCTGGCCCTGGTTGGAGCACTGAGAGGCCCCAGCGCTGCTCCGGCAGCCTGGGGTCACCGGCATCACCCCCCTTCTCAGGCTGGTGGGCAGACGGGGCAGGGGTGGGGTGGGAGGTGCTTCTCAGGGGTCTGGGAGCTTCCTGCTGAGTGTCAGGGCTGGGGGCACCTGGAGGGGACACTCATCCTGAGTCCTCCTGGCCCCACCCATCCTGGCCCCCAGGGAGGGGACAAGATGCCTCTGCCGGGCACTTTGCGGCATCCCGCTCGCTCATGCCCAGTGGAGCAGGTGCCATCTGTGGCTGGGGGGCTCTGGGCAGGCAGCGCCCGGGCTCCTGAGGAAGGAAGACCACAGCCCACGGGGCCAGGTGTGCAGCTGTGAGCCGCTGTCCCCGCCTTGAGATCTGCCCGCAGACCCGGCCCCAGCCCCAAGGACGGCAAGGCCCCCTCTTGCCCAGTGTCCATCTGCACTTCCACTCGGCCACCAGGAGGCCCCTCTGCAGTTGGGAGGGGCTAAGCTCTCAGCCCCCAGGGGGACTTACTGGGCACCCCTGCAGGGCCCCTCCGTGGGCGCTGCTTAGAGCCGGCTGGCAGTGCCCAGGGCCAGGGAGTGCGTGCTCCAGTCCTGGGGCCGCTGGGGCTAAAACCCTGACATGCGGTGGGCAGGATGTGATGGACAGCAAGTCTGTGGTCCAATAAAACAGTCTGTTTGGGAACAGAGGCCAGATATGACATGGGCCTGAGCTGCCAACCTCTCTGCCAAGATGGGGGTCATGTGGGCACCAGGGCTGGTGGGGCAGCTTGGTCCTGGAGCATGTGGGGAAGGGGCCCCGGGAGGCGAGGCATCGGGGCCCCAGCTGGTCTCCCCTGTAGGGATCTGCATCACTCTTGTTGTCGGGCTGGGTGCAGGGCAGATGGACTGACCCCTGTTCTCTTTGGTTTAGGGAGCAGCTGCCTCACCCCCTGGGCTCCCGACGCCACTTTCAGGTAGGCCCAGCTGGCCCCAGCTCCTACACAGCCCTTCCCTGGGGACAAAGGGGTCCTGGTGGCTACAGCTACAGCCCAGCTAGATAGGCAGTGGGGTGTCCATGGGCAGGGGCAGCAGTGGGCCGTGGGGTGTCAGCACGCAGAGAGTGACCATGGACAGAGGGTGGCAGTGGACAGAGGGTGATGGACAGTGGAGAGTGGCAGTAGGTTGCTAGTGGGCAGAGGGGAACAGTGGACAGAGGGTGATAGTGGACAGAGGATGACAGTGGACAGGGTGGCCATGGACAGTGGAGTGGCAGTGGGGAGGGGGTCATAGTGGACAGAGGATGACAGTGGTAGCTATGTGCAGCTAAGAGGAGCCAGGCTGGGCAGCAGGGGGAGGACAGGGTGGCTGGGTGTGGCCATGCTGCTGGGGGTTTCTTGGATAGAGTGGACAGGCCAGGATGGCCCGGATCCCCAGCCTTTAGGAGGGAGCCTTGTCCTTGAGGTGACAGAGAGCAGAGGTGAGGGGGTCCAGGCATAGCAGGGCGGTGGTGATGGTGGTGGGCGAGGCCCAGGCAGGAAGCGAGGGGAAGACTTGAGGGTCCTTGGAGAAGCTGGGTGGGGGCGAAGGCCAGGCAGACACTGGGTGTCCAGGAGATGGTCCTGGGGGGCGTGGAGGCTGAAGGCTACAGGGAGCTGTCCTCGGGCTGGAGGTCAGGGGTCAGCTCTGTGCCTTGTCTTCTCCATGGAGCCTCTGGGGGTGGGGCTCTAAGGAACCTCCATCCCTCCATGGCCCCTCAGGGGAGCATAACGCCTGTTTGGGTCCAGACCCTGCAGGCTGAGCAGGGCACAGGCTGACCTGGAGCGGGCACTGAGGGCAGGAGGGGTGGAAAGGGCCACTGGCAAGCAGGGTCAGACGGGACCACAGGAAAGCCGCTGCTGCCGGCCTGGGGCATCTCCCCTGACCGCGAGGCTGTGGGCGGCCCTCCAGATGGTCCCCACACCTGCCTCCTGCTGTCCGTGGAGCCTGCCCTCAGGGCCTTCGCAGGTCTGTAACTCAGACACGTGTGTCTCCAGGAAGGGAGAGTGGGGTGGGCACAGGGTCAGGACCTGCTGGACGACATGCATCCTCTGTACTGGGTCCAGGGGCTGGGCTAGGGGGACAGAGACAAACGTGACCCCACATAGTGGGGCCAGAGCCTTGGGTGCAGCCCAGGGTGGGTGGGCCAGGGCGAGGCCAGGACAGCGCTCGCCTGCTCACCTGCCCTCCGGCAGCTGGTAAGAGCTCCCCGGAAGCTCAAACTGCAGGAGCCGGTGGGGTGGGAGGTGGAGAGTCCCAGGGGTGTGGGATGTGGGGTGTGGGGCAGGGGACCAGGGCCGAGGAGGCTGGGGCAGCCTTCCTGTGCTGGTGAGCGTCACGGGCAGGGCTGGCCCTGTGGGACTTCCCGTGCCCAGTCCTGCTACCACCCTCTCCCCCTGCCCACCTGGCCCTGCTGTGAAGAGTACCCGCTCAACCCTAAAACCAACCGCTGAGTCCTGGGGAGATTGTCCACGTGCCCTTGGGTCAAACCACAGCCCCTCCATTCGGCTGCGAGGCCTGGGGTGGGGGTGGGGCCTCCCTCCCAGACCCCCTCGGGCCTGTTGCAGCCCCGATGGCTCCCCCAGTGGCAGCGGGGCCTTAGTCCTTGCCCTCCCCGCCCTCCTTTCTTGCCCCCACTCCTCGGCTGGCTCGTGCCCTCTGCCCCGCGCAGCCTGCCCTGCGTGGCCCGGCCCCACTGCCGCCCTGGGCACCCCTGCCTGTCATGGGGAGGACCTGGGAGAGGGCCTGGGTTGTGAGGGCCTGCCTGGCCCGGCGCTCTAAGGGGCTGGTGTGCAGTGCCCGCGTGGACATGGTGCAGCCAGCGTGCCCCGGCTGCCTGGGTGCAGAGTGCCCCAGCCCTGCGCCACCTTCCAGGCCCGGGGGGACCCGCCTTTCCTGAGATGGAGCCTGTGTGCGAATGCAGTGGGTGGAAGGAAGCCCCTCACCTCTGAGCAGAGCTTTCCTGGGACCGTCGTTTGCTTGACAAAGGCTCAGAGCATTTCTGTGCTTCCAGGCAGGGCAGGGCTCCATGACCTCACGCGCCGTTCCCCCCGGCCTGGTGGTCTTTGTCCTGGCTGGCCCGGGACCTCACGTCTTCTACCACCGGACGTCTCGCATCCTGGGAGCCCCGTGTCCAGAGGCCCCCTCTTTCCATCCCAGACACCACAGTGTCGCTCTGGGGGCAGCCCACCCCGGCCGAGGTCCTGACACCTGGCAGGGTGCCCCCTGGTGGCCCCCTGCCTTCCTCTGCAGCGGGTCCTCAGGCTGCGCTGGTCAGGGGTGTGTGTCCACCTCATTGGACCCTGACCGTGTGGCTGAGCCCTGCAAGGAGACGGTCTGGTCAGGGCTCTGGGCTGGGCAGGCTGGGCTATGGAGGGGAAGAATGCGGTTCAGGAAACCGGGTGGGTGGACCCGGCCCTGCCCAGCGGCTGTCCACTCAGGAGCTCAGGGTCTCTCTGGCCTCAGCCTCCCCCCAGGAGCAAGCAGGCAGTGTGGGGCACCCCTTCGGCCTTGCTGGGGCAGTGAGAGGGATGAAATGACTGGCACCCATGTGGGCGTGGGCCTTCAGAAAGGGCCCTGTGGCAGTGTGTGCCCTGGGCTGGGTCTATCTGCTCAAGTCCCCCGGGCTGGCCCTCCAGTGCCCACCACCAGCAGAGCCAGGACCCTCCCGGGGGAGGGCTTTGCACCCTCAGACAAGTGGGTGGTGGCTCAGAGACAGGCTGTCCTGGGGCCTTCAGCCCCCCACCTGCTCCTGCCCAGCAGCTCCTACTTCCCCTCCTGCGCCTGCTCCGCTGGCCACAGGTCGTTCTGCAGCCCTAGGCCTGGCCGCGTCTCGAGGCTGCTGGCCCTCGGGAGAGGGTGAGAGAGTAACTTGGCTGCTGCCCCCCTAAAATGGCCTTGAGCCCCCACCCCATGTGCTGTGCCCCGAGGGGCCCTAGGATCAGAGTGTGGGAGAGGCTGCAGGAGGAGGGTGGGCTGCCCTCAACCCTGGTCCCGAGGGCCGGTTGCATTTGCCAGGAACTGGGAGCGGATCCTGGGCGGGGAGGGTCTTCGGTGCCGGGGGCCGTCTGGGAGGTGTCACTGTGGATGGAGGTGTGGGCCTGCCCTCTGGGAAGGGATCCTTATGGGGGTCTCACGGTCCAGGGAGGGTCCCTGCAGCCTGGACAGATGGGGTGACCATGGAGGACAGCCACGCGGCTGACGCTGAAGGTAGAAGAGCACGGTCACTGGGTCCCAGTGGGCCTTGGGCCTCGGGTACTGCCCAGCAGCTGTCAGCCCACTGCAGCAGGCAGGGAAATCGGGAACTTAGCAAGTCTTCCCAGGCTGTGGGGGGGTGAGCGGGGTGGGTGGGAAGCTGGCTTAGGGGTCAGCGCAGCCCTCCGCCACTGCCTGGAGACTAATAGCTCCCTTCCCTGCAGGCAGCCTGGGGCCTGACAGGCTGAGCAGCGACTCGCCCACCTACGTGAACATCCCTGTCAGCCCCTCATCCAAAAAGCAGCTGCACTACATGGGCCTGGAGCTGCAGGCCAGCGAGGGGATCCGAGGTGGGAACCCACATGCCCTGGGCGGCCCACCTCCCACCCGCCCCCCTTCCTCCCCTTGAGGGTGGCAGCCCCCTGCGTCCCCACCCAGGGTTCCCGCTTAGGTCCTGGCCAATGGCAGGGGCGAGCTCTAGGCCTGGCAGTCCCTTGTCCCCGAGGCCTCCGCGGAGCTGGGGGTGTCAGCTCACCCACGGCTGCTTCCAGGGGCGGGCGCCTCCCGCTATGCGCAGATCGACATCACAGCCATGGAGGCGGCCCACAGGGTGGGGGCCCGGCACGCGCAGACCCGGGAGGAGCGGCTGCCAGAGCTGGAGCAGAGGAAGCGGGGGGCCCTGCAGTGAGGCGGCCGGACACTCCCCCAACCGGACAGGCTAGCACGGCCATGCCGGCCGCCCTCCTGTGGGTCCCTGGCTGTCTGGGCTCTGTGATTTGTGGCCTCCTAGCCGCAGGGTGGGCATGGCCGGTGCCCTGGCCGGCGTGGGTGGGTGGGAGGTTCTGGGGCTCCTGCCCAGCTCTTCCTGCCTCTGGGGCCAGAGATGACCCTTCCTCTGGCCTCAACATGTCACGGGACATCAGCCTGATGGGGGGAGCAGCTGTCTAGGTGCCAGGTAGCTTCCACTTCATTATCTGAGGCCGCATCTCAGCTGCTGGTGGCGGGGCTGGTGGCGGGGCCGGGACTGCGAGCAGGGCCCAGGGCTCTGGAGGTGGTGGCCTCCCAAATGACTGCAGGTGTGTCCTTGGAAAATGCCATGTCCCCAAGCCATGGCCCGGACCAGGCCCGACCCACGCCGAGCGTCCTGCAGCCCTCGGCTCAGGGACCCCCAGCTGCCACCCTCTGCACCTGGAAGCCGCCCCTCCCAGGTCACTGCCATTTGGACCTGAGCCCTCGGCCCCGGAGGACTGTCCCCCGTTCCGACCGGCCAGGCGGGCCCCGTGTGTTTACCTGGGCGTGCTTCCCGGGGCCCGCTGCAGTCACTCGTGTGCAGTTGAAGACGCTTCCTGCTCTATTTTTAACGACGCCCAGTGTTTTCCTGAAGGGTGAGGTGCTTCCCTTTCTGTGTGGTGGCGGTGGCTGGTTCACCTGGCGGCCCCGGGATGGGACTCTGCTGTCTGGACACAGTGGAGGGGCTCAGGGCCCCCGCATGCGTCTGTCGGGGCGCCCCTCTCCGTAGGGACGCTGTGTGGCATGCCCATGGCTCGGAGTGGGCCCGGCCTCACTGGCTAGTGGGGTCTGGACACGGGGAATCTTCCAGAGTTGGGGGGGCCTTCTGCCACCCCTCCTAGGCCTGACAGGGACGTGCCCACTGGGCCCCCCTACCCTGGTGTCTGAGATGATACGGCTCTGTCCTACCTGGCTGGAGGCTCCAGCCACGGGGACTCACGCCCCCTTCCTGCCCCCGCTCTCCCACCCATTATCCATCTCCCTCTCTCTCCACCAGCTGCTCCGTGGCTGTCGTGCCCATAGAGAGCACCAGGGGCTGACATTGTCCACATGCTCCTCAGCAGGGGTCCCCGGGGCTGATGGGCTCCAGAGCACCAGCCTCCCCGCCACACCGCATCCGAGCTGACATCTGACTGCTGGGGCAGTCCGGGCAGCGGGGAGATGACCCAGTCCTGAGCCTGTAGGGGTAAATGTCCCGGGTGGGGTGCACAGGCCCTGGGGTTGATCTGGGTCAGCCTCGAAGGACCCCACTAGCACCTCCAGGACAAGGTTCTAGGGTAGCAGGACTTCCCTTTAACCTGAGTGGGGGATGAAACATGCCTGGCACACCCCAGCCCTGGGCAGGCTGCAGGGCCTTACCAGTGGCCTTGAGTGGCTGGCATCTGGAGTCTCCTCTTTCCAGAACAGGACATGGCTGCTCTCTGGGATGCTAAAACAGGGTTCTGATGTGTGAGGCCTCTAGGGAAGTTTGGGCCTAGACTGGACTCCTAGCAGGGCCTGGGCCGCGTTCTGTTCCCACCTGCGAGTTTGGTGGCCCGAGGGGTCTCCTGGGACACATCCACCTGCAAATGTATGGCTGAGGGGTGGGGCCCAGGGAGGCGAGCAGCTCCCTGTTGGGTGCTACACAGGGTGCGCCCTCCTGCCCTTGGGCTCCCCAGCTGGGGGCAGAAGGACGCAGGGTGGGGGGCCCTCTGATGCTGGGTTGGGTTTAGCATCTTCATTTGGAACATCAGCGCCAGACAGGGCACTTTACCCTTCTAAAGAATTGAAATATTATAAAACATAACTGATGTTACTTCCAGTGTGTGGTGTGACAATGCGACACTATTTACTGTGCAGTAGCCACCCTAGGAAGTCAAATGCCTACAACCTCACAACAGTTACACGGTTTACTTTTCCTGGAGATGAGAACTGTCAGCATCTACTCTCAGCTACTTTCAGATGCACAGTGCAGTGCTAACTACTGTCGCCGTGCTGTACGCACACCTGCAGACTTCTCACAGCTAGGAATCTGTCCCTTCTGCCCATCTTCACCCATCTTACCCCCTCCCTGCCTCTGACCACCATTCTTTCTCTGTATCTGTGGGCTCCACTTTTCTTTTTTAAACGTATCCACACATAAGTGAGATTATACAGTATTTGTCTTGCTCTGACTTACTTCACTTAACATGATGCCCTCAAGGTTCACACATGTCACAAATGGCAGACCTTCTTTCTCTTTTATGGCTGATATCTATTATATATGTATCTATATACACACCACATCTTTATCCGTTCATCCATCAGCAGACACTTAGGTTGCCTCCACATCTTGGCTATTGTAAATAACGCTGCAATGAACATGGGGTGCATTTATCTTTTTGAGTTAGTATTTTTCTTACCTTTGGATAAATACCCAGAAATGGGATTACTGGATCCTAGGATATCTTTAGTTTTTTGAGGCACCTCCCTACTGCTTCACACAGTGGCTGCACCATTTTGCATTCCCACCAACAGTGCACAGAGGTTCCCTTTTCTCTATACCCTTGTCAACACTTATTTCATCTTTGACAAGAGCCAGTCTGACAGGTGTGAAGTGGCATCTCGCTGTGGTTCGATTTGCATTTTCCTGGGGCTTAGTGATGCTCACCATGTTTTTATGTCTGCTGGCACCTGTGTGTCTTCTCAGGGAAA